CAATCAGGCCCTGTGAGCTTAAGACAGAGGGCATTAAACTAGTCAGGTCAGCAGCTTTGGAAGATTACATCCTGGGATCAGGGGACCAGTAGGCACCGGACTACTACTGCTAACCTACTACAAACTACAACCTGCTCTCAATATCTACTGATCTTTCAGTTATTTTAAATAGTGAATATATTCATCAACATTGATCCGTGTAATCAGTCCAGCTATTCTTATTTACTCCACTGAAGATGCATCTCCTTCACCTCAGGGTGTAGAACGGCGTGGAGGAGTTTGGTATTTCTGTGTTGGCATAACAAGTGTCAAGACAGTTGTAAAAGTCAATCTGACTGAACTTTAGAAAGGTTGAGGCTCATTCAGAAAACCGAAGATCAAAAATTGTGCTAACCTCAATGCACTCACCAACCCTCTTCCTGCCAGTATAATTCACCTTTGACACTCAGAAGGATGCTTCACACTTCTCCGACGTGATTACCAGTCTTTCGCAATAATATTAAACTTTCCTGTTGATTACTCAAGACAATGCAATGTTTTTGGAGTGGTGGCAGGTTAAAGCTCCTCCACTGAAATGGACTCATTATTTTCTAGCCCTGGGCTCTATTTCATCCTCCCAGTTGTTTCTGTCCACTCTCCATGGTTGTTTTTGGAGCCTGTTTTTTCCACATCGTGACTATGAGAAACATGTTTGTCAGACAAGAGAGGGTACACAAGGCTCATAGCGAAAGTCGCCCAAACCTCCAAAGAATAAATTAGTGATGAGAGAAGGAGGCTGCTGTTGACGACTCGGTAACAGCGGCCCGTGGTTAAAACCAGACGCCTTTGACTGCTGTTTGTCTCTCTTTCTTCTGGAGGAGTTGATGCAATTTGGACTTTCTGTTCCTTTTGTTATTTGCTTTTAACTCACTAAAGCCAGACTCAAACATTAGATAGAAAAGCATGAAAAATGCATGACCACTTATTCAAAGTTCTGCTCCTTTTGATTTGTTGAGCAACGTCAGAGACAGTTCTAGCTTTATTAGCCTTGCAGGAGACATTTTGAGCCGTTATTCCTTTTGAAACAGACTATCTGCTTTCATCAATGCTGACGATAGTTATGCAAAATTGAAATTCTTAGCAATTGCTTCTGGTTATAAAGACAGTGTGCCAGGCAGTCTCCTGAAACAAACAGACATTTTGACATATTATTTTCAGTAAGACACCACTCAAGAATTCCCATAAGTCAGCTCGATACTGCAGTTTAGAAGACAGAGCTCTGCTCATTGTGTCTGGATACGATTGTACAGTGTTAGCCCCTATAGGTGGTCTGGTTTGGGGTTTCCCAAGCTGAAGCATGGCATCTCCTCATGTCCTTTTTCTGTCCCCTCTTATATCTCTGCTTCTTCAAATGTTTTTGCATTTGCCACTGTACAAAGAGTAAAGTTTAAACAATCTTTGTTATTCAATGAACCCAGAACAAAAATAAAAAAATGCACACACTCACTGCTGTAAGTGGCTCTGGATAAGAGCGTCTGCTAAATTACTAAAAAAAGAATAACTTCTGTGTATGTTTTTACAGTACAGTCATGTCATGTGTACAGCGAGGGAAAAAAGTATTTGATCCCCTGCTGATGTTGTACGTTTGCCCACTGACAAAGACATGATCAGTCTATCATTTTAATGGTAGGTTTATTTGAACAGTGAGATACAGAATAACAACATTAAAATCCAGAAAAAAACGCATGTCAAAAATGTTATAAATTGATTTGCATTTTAATGAGGGAAATAAGTATTTGACCCCTCTGCAAAACATGACTTAGTACTTGGTGGCAAAACCCTTGTTGGCAATCACAGAGGTCAGACGTTTCTTGTAGTTGGCCACCAGGTTTGCACACATATCAGGAGGGATTTTGTCGCACTCCTCTTTGCAGATCTTCTCCAAGTCATTAAGGTTTCGAGCCTGACGTTTGGCAACACAAACCTTCAGCTCCCTCCACATATTTTCTATGGGATTAAGGTCCGGAGACTGGCTAGGCCACTCCAGGAGCTTAATGTGCCTCTTCTTGAGCCACTTCTTTGTTGCCTTGGCCGTGTGTTTTGGTTCATTGTCATGCTGGAATACCCATCCACGACCCATTTTCAGTGCCCTGGCTGAGGGAAGGAGGTTCTCACCCAAGATTTGACGGTACATGGCCCAGTCCATCGTCTCTTTGATGTGGTGAAGTTGTCCTGTCCCCTTAGCAGAAAAACACCCCCAAAGCATAATGTTTCCACCTCCATGTTTGACGGTGGGGATGGTGTTCTTGGGGTCATAGGCAGCATTCCTCCTCCTCCAAACACGGCAAGTTGAGTTGATGCCAAAGAGCTCGATTTTAGTCTCATCTGACCACAACACTTTCACCCAGTTCTCCTTTGAATCATTCAGATGTTCATTGGCAAACTTCAGACGGCCCTGTATATGTGCTTTCTTGAGCAGGGGGACCTTGCGGGCGCTGCAGGATTTCAGTCCTTCACGGCGTAATGTGTTACCAATTGTTTTTTTGGTGACTATGGTCCCAGCTGCCTTGAGATCACTAACAATATCCTCCCGTGTAGTTCTGGGCTGATTCCTCACCATTCTCATGATCATTGCAACTCCACGAGGTGAGATCTTGCATGGAGCCCCAGGCCGAGGGAGACTGACCGTACTTTTGTGTTTCTTCCATTTGCGAATAATCGCACCAACTGTTGTCACCTTCTCACCAAGCTGCTTGGCGATGGTCTTGTAGCCCATTCCAGCCTTGTGTAGGTCTACAATCTAGTCCCTGACATCCTTGGAGAGCTCTTTGGTCTTGGCCATGGTGGAGAGTTTGGAATCTGATTGATTGATTGCTTCTGTGGACGGGTGTCTTTTATACAGGTAACAAGCTGAGATTATGAGCACTCCCTTTAAGAGTGTGCTCCTAATCTCAGCTCGTTACCTGTATAAAATACATCTGGGAGCCAGAGAGGGGGGGCAAATACTTATTTCCCTCATTAAAATACAAATCAATTTATAACATTTTTGACATGCATTTTTCTGGATATTTTTGTTGTTATTCTGTCTCTCACTGTTCAAATAAACCTACCATTAAAAGTATAGACTGATCATTTCTTTGTCAGTGGGCAAACGTACAAAATCAGCAGGGGATCAAATATTTTTTTCCCTCACTGTATCATAAGGTGACGAACAATGACTTATCTCATATTGCAGTCAGATACGTGTATTTCCTGTCAATCCTCATGTGATGTCACAAGAACTGACAACAGTTTCCTCTGGTTTCTAACTGTGCTAGTGTATACATTCTTTCAGTGAGCATGACAAGATATACGGGGCTCCCTCAGGTGTCCAAATACAAAGAGCAGAGCTCCCCTCTCTGTGTTTCTGCAAAGTTACATTTCACTTAGTCAACCCTGGCTGTGTTAGTGATAAAACCCTGCACCAGACGGGAACTTTGGTATTGTTTGAAGAATCTCATATGTGGAGACCATATGAGGGTTAGTCACCAAGTGTGTCACTAAGCTGGAGTGTGGAGTAACCAATGTCCCTCATTCCTAAACACAGGTGTGGATTTTGATGAGTGAGGAGGTGAGGGGAAGGCTGAGGAACATCTGTCTAAAAGGACCTGTGTATCACCAACCGTGTCACTCCTCCACAATGACAAAAAGAAAGAAAAAAAGGGAACGCATAAACTGGGTAGATAAATAACATGAACACCTATTTCCAAACCATTTACATCAACGACTAAATTTTACTTTCTTTTTTCTGCACCCCATGACAAAATGTGTTAGAATTGCAGGAAATAAGCTTTAAACTTGCAAAATGTTCTCTCCGCCTACAAGAGGGGTGTGAACAGTTTGTGTCATGAACAGTGCTTGTGCACATAGAAATAGACGTGGGCGGCGAGATGTTCCCCAATGCTGAAAGGGGGGCCTGAGTGACAAAGTTTGGGAACCTCTGCCTTAAAGGGTCAATTCCAGCTCTCCTCTATCCTTTTACCCATGACTTCCTCTTGGAAGAACAGGTTTTCCGCGGCAGTCATGTCGCTGATCTGAAACGCTACGTCGGAGGAAAACAGATGGTACGCACTGAGGTCTTAGAAAGTAAACTCTGACTGAACACCTCCATATTAAATCTACATGAAGTGAATGACTTTTTGAGGTCACCATTTGCAACAGTGCCACATTTATCAAGTCTGTAAACTGGCCCTTAGCTTACTTGTTTCAAAAGAGCAATGATGTTGTCATAGTCCATTAAATATCTTAGGAAATAGGAATCTCTCTGGGAGACAGGGATACGGGAGCAGAGATGTAAGTGAAAAAATAAACAAATGTATATTCAATTTTTTTCACTGCATCTACCCATCTGACAGGCATATCTTTGTGAGGTATTTCTTGGATTATAAATCAGTCTCTGGATTGGTGCAAAATTAACAGTAACTTTCCGTGCTCATTTTAACTTTAATCCTAGTGTTGATTGACAATGTTGTCAGACCTCAGAATAGATTTGAGCCGGCATTACAAGCCCTTTTCTGTCCACAGCACTTGGATTATTTAAGATTATGCTGTAATTCCCGTTTTAATCTTCACTGCGTTGAGATTTTGGGGCGACCAGCAGCGATGAAGTGATGAAGCGTTTGAGGAAATCTGCTCTTCCTTTTCTCCTGTTATCAGTACGCCCCCCCCCCCCCCCGTTGTTACCCCCCCCCCCCCCCCCGTTGTTTTTTCCCCCATGAAAACTTGCGTTGCCACTGCCAATGAATTGATCATCAGTTTGCTTTCCTGCCTTAAGCCTTTATCAAAAGATCATCTTCAAAAGGCAATAAGAAGATAGCACTGTGAAGTTTTAAGAGTTTAATTTCCTAAACATTGGTTTTGTGGAAACATAAGACGTTGGCCTAACATCACCTTCAAATGCAATCTGACTAAATGCAAATATATTTTCTGATCAGGTGGTTGACTCAAAGACTCATGAAAATGTATCTAATGTCTTAAGAAATTTAGTATATTATCTGTATAAATCATAAGGGAATGAGTGCACCCAAGAACATCCCATCCTCAACAACCAAAACAGACAATCTGCAAGCTGCTCAGTCTTATAGTAAACTACTTTGATCCTCTTCACATATAAACTAAATGGCCGCACCTGAAGCACGTTCTTCCGGCTGGACTTCTCTGTTGTCCATTCAGCCACAGCCCCACAGAGATCCATCCCATCAGGACTGCATCCAGGCTTCTACAGAGGGATCAGAGGCAGAGGGGAGAGGCGGTTAGTAGTAAGTAGTTTCACTGCTCTGTTATGAATGGGATAAAAGCACCATCATTATGGAGAAATATCAAAAGGCATGTTTTCAAACAGGGTATAGCTATCACTATCTTGGCCAGATATTTCATATGAATCACGATTAATGAACAAACGGAAGCAATCTGCCCAAGAGCAGAGACATATATTCTGATTCCCATTAAGATGAGAATGTGCATGTGCTGTACATTCTCTAGTATTAGATGGCACTTGCGAAGCAAAAGTTCCAACTTTAAATCTTCATCATACTTCTTATTATTCATCTGCACGCTACTCCTCTTACACCGTTGAAGCTAGAAACGCCATTCAGACTTTAAAATGTACAGACTGGTCTGGAATACTGTGCTTACGATACATTTTTTTATCTTTCTTTTTGTCCTTCTTCATTCAATAACAACATAATTATCTGGTACCGATCAAACGTTACAGCTGTTTAAGGGACCACATCAACATTTTCTGTAACTTTTTATAAAGAACTGCTGTTTTGACCACTTTTCCCAACAACGTAGACAAAAACATAAGATGGTATGCCACCTTGGTCTACTTCTCTGCTATTCAAATCTGAATTAAGAACAGAAATATCTACTACCAATCACGAGGTACAGCTGTTTTAGTAACCACGTCAACTAATTTAGCTAACTTCCCGCTGTTGAATTAACTGCCATGGAACTTTTCAGAACTTTCAAATTATAACAAAGGGGGAGCACATTCTAAGCATGAGATAATGAGTGAACATTGTGACTTTTGACACTAATCAGCTACCTTGACCACTTTTTTCAATAACACGTCGTAGACAAACACTTAAAGGGTATGGCACCTTGGTCCACTTCTCTGCTATTCAAATCTGAATATCAGAGAATATCACACACACCATCCACACCTTCAACCATACATTCATTCCTTTATCATACCAATCAGTCCAACTTAACATTGTTTTATCCCTCCATCATTATGTCTTCCATCCCTGTAGCCTTACTTTATTAATCTATCCATTTATTAATCTATCCTATTTATTTATCTATCCAGTCATAACTTTCTTTTAACAGCTTTATCTGTTGATTAAGACATTCATGTATGGTTGGATAAACGCTTTGAATAAAACTAATGTTTTTTATTTTTATTTTAAACTTCAACAATGCCTCCTTGTCTTCTGCAGTCTATTATTCCAGTTGTCATACAGTATACTGTGGTATTCTAGTAGGAGAGTGTATAAAAGTGTTGTAGGCTAGTCTGAATGTAGTTATTTGTGATAAAAATATGTTATGTAACTGCCCCACAATACAAAGTAATAAGGTTGATAGTGTAGTCTATCAAAGTAAACAGACAAATTATTTTACTAAATACAATTTTGACTATATTTAACTTCTTGGCTTAAGTAAAACATTTTAAACGTCTTCCACTACCACAAAAATACTTGTAAAGAGTTAAAGCAAGTCCCACTTCATGGAATTTTCTTCATGGGAAATTACCATCTAGTTCTAACCTTTAATATCTTATTCATATCCTTTATGGAATTATAGAAGCAGTGTGTAACCATATCAAAATAGGAATGGTATAATTTTCAGGCAGAGAGAATGTGATTTAGAAAAAATATATATATATGTTGCTTTTCAAACAACAACTAATCGGTGTAAAAGGCATGGGAACTCATTTAGATATAATTCCCTTCAGTGGTCTCAGCAAATTGAAACAATCTAAAACCTGGTGAAATCATAGCGAGATGCAGTAGAAAATTAAGACGATAAGAACATTCTGCAATAATATTACAATGTAGTATTCCAGTACATTGTACAACCAACAGTAACCAAGCCATTTTAGGCGAATGAAAGATGCTCACTGAGATCCCACATGACCAGCTTCGAATTGACTGAACCCTGAAGACTCATTGAACTATCATGGCTGACAGGTACAGTATTGGACAAATGAGGTGATATTTGACTTCCAGTACCTGCCTCAGTCATAGTAAACTACACTTGTTTTAGTTGGATGATTTGAGCGTTCTTGTTTCTACTCAATAAATAACTCTCCTTACAGAACTATGTACATGTTGCAGGTGAGATCATATCCTGAGTTTGTATGATGATGACAACATTGTGTATGTTCAGAGCAAAAACCTAAATACTGTCCACAGCGACCAATTGATAACACAAGAGATTAATATGCTGTTTATTCTACTCTAAAACAAAGATAAACCAAATTATGAAATTATGAAAACAAACGCCCTCCACCGTACCCACTATTTAGAAAAGTTTTTCATCGGAAAAGGGGGAGATATGTCAATCTATGTGGAAATGCCTCTCTTGCCCATAATGAACCATTTGAATGGGAGAGTATGACAGAACGTTGCACTGGTGGGGCTCAGTAAGGGAGAGGGCTTTGATTAAGTCCTCGGAGCTTCATTAAAAAGCATGGCAAGCTCATTTTAGACTTTCTCTTTCTCTCTCTCTCTCTCTCTCCTACATCTCTCACTCTCTCTCTCTCTCTCTCTCTCTCTCTCGCTCTCTCTTCTCTCTCTCCTCTCTCTCTCTCTCTCTATATATATATATATATATATATATATATATATATCTGGGTGGATTAAAGTCACATACTACACACATAGACAGACACAGACACACATGCACACATGCACGTACATACACACACACAAACACACACACACACACACACACACACACACACACACACACACACACACACACACACACACACACACAAACACACACACACACACACACACACACACACACACACACACACACCACACACACACACACACACACACACACATACACACACACACACACACACACACACACACACACACACACACACACACACACACACACACACACACACACACACACACACACACACACACACACACACACACACACACACACACACACACACACACTATATACAGTCCTCCTCACAAGGGGGTAAACAGTTGCTTTATTGCATTTAGATGGGGTGGGTTCTAGTCCATGGGATCAAAGCTAAAGTTAATTTGCTAGTTTAAGAAATAGGAAGATAAAAGAAAACACAAATTAAAATGAACATAGCATGTGTTCACTCAACATGTGTACTCATAATGCTTATAGGCAATGCCTCAGAAAGTTCATTTGAGGCTGTAATTGAACATTGTATGAGTGTGGGTGTGTATCTTGCAAAAACCTACCAAATTCGTCAGGGCTTCTTGCTTGCTATCTTTATAAAACAGAAGTTTATCTGTGTCCAGGACTACCCAAGTTGAAGTCCAATTCTTCCTCAGTTTTTTGCCTCCATCGGATATTTTGGCTTTATTCAAATGTTCACCTTTCAAAACAACCTGAAATGCAAGATGTAACATTTATCCTTTAACAGATATTATCAATGAATGTGACATACATATTCCAATCAGACACATGCTATTTTATCAGTATCAACCCAATAAATATACTTATTTTAAGTAAAATAGGCCTGCTGAATGAAAAGTACAGAAACATATTTACAGTGAACAATAATTAGTACGGTATAATAACTGATTTCTGCTCATATGCTTCCATACATCCTGACAGTTCATTATGGTGGTCTGTCATGCTCACAGGAGTCTCTAAGGCTCCAGCTCCACCGATGTTATGCTGAGACTGGTTCCTCCGGTGACGAGAGATCTACAGACAGAGAAACAGAGGAAACAGTGGAGAGGAGCTGACTTCCCTGACGGTTTCAAATCACAACTGTTGCTTGATTGCGGCCCCATTGTCTTAGCTAGTTAAATCGGTGAAATTAAAATAATACAGGTATTGTGAAGAGTCCATGTATTCCAAATTGTATTTAACAGCTATTAAGATTATGCAATATAATACAAACAGAGTATGGTTACATGTGTGAATGTCTCATCGATGTGTTAACATGTTTAACATCTACATCATGAATGCCTACAGAGTCTCTGACAGTAGTGTGTGTGGTTAATGAGATGGGACCTCACACTGCGACAACCGATAAACAACTCACACAACCCAGTGCTAATCACAATCAGACCATGATAATTCATATCACGATAACAGCAATGGAAACACTCATTCCAAAAGACCAACATGGACATGAATAGAGCACGGTTATTGATTAACGAGAGATTAAACTAGCAGAGTAGTAAAAGTTGTAGTTACAACAAAGGTATCTCAGAAAAGGTTGAGCTTATACATAGTTGAACCAGTGTTCTGTAATAGTCACCCTGGTTGCTATAGAAACACAGTATGTACCGTTTGGTATTGAGTTTTATCCCTCAGCACGGTGCTGCCCTGCCCTCTACTGTTCAAATGACTGTCTAATAGGAATCCCAATAAGGATAGGTCTGCTCCCACACTCCAAACCCCTAATGAGTCCTTTATTCACTGCGACTGGTTCTGCCTATTTTTGGCTGCTATATTTAAGCAATAAGGCCCAAGGGGTTGTGGTATATGGTCAATATACCACGGCTAAGGGCTGTTCTTTAAGCACGACGCAACGCGGAGTGCCTGGTTACAGCCCTTAGCCGTGCTATATTGGGACATATACCACAAACCCCTGAGGTGCCTTATTGCTAATATAAACTGGTTACCAACGTAATTAGAGCAGTAAAAATAAATGTTTTATCATACCCGTGGTATACGGTCTGATACACCACGGCTGTCAGCCAATCATCATTCAGGGCGGGAACCACCTAGTTTATAATCTCTCATTAATCACAGTGGAGGAGGGTGGAGGAGGACACGTTCCAGCTGGGTTTAACACATATGGCAATAAATTGAAGGAGGTCAAGAAACAATTACTCTGCTCTCTACAAACACACACTAATACATGATAGCAACAAACAGCATTCATTTTGATGTTTGCTAGATGTGATCCTCTGTGTAATGAATGTAATGAAAACTAGTACAGCTGTAATCAGAATAACATTCTACACTGGAACACTGGAACACTGATGTAATGTTAGATCAACACTATAACGTTCTGTGCTCTGAGCTGTGTTTGTTGGGAGGTGTTAGTGACCATGTTTGTAGTCTGTAGGATCTGGTTCATTATCTGCAGTAGCTTTTGTACCTCTACTCTGCCCTCTGGACAAACTGTGTTATTGCAGTACGAGGCGTCTCACAAACAAGTATCTTCTGCATAATTACCAAACAAGCAACGCAACAAAACATCAAGACGTGGCCTCACGGCTGTGATCATCTGAGTAATTCAGTTTGCTGTCAATTATTAATAAACTCTATGAAGGTTTAAAATACATGTTAGAAACTGAGACTGACTGAAGGTTACATTGGCCTGTTTTAAACTAAATGTGCAGCTATATTATTCCAGCCAATACATAGACAGATGAACCGCTATGATACGGTCATGAACCACTATGATACGGTCATGAACCACTATGATACAGTCATGAACCACTATGATATGGTCATGAACCACTATGATACAGTCATGAACCACTATGATACGGTCATGAACCACTATGATACAGTCATGAACCACTATGATATGGTCATGAACCACTATGATACAGTCATGAACCGCTATGATACGGTCATGAACCACTATGATACAGTCATGAACCACTATGATATGGTCATGAACCACTATGATACGGTCATGAACCACTATGATACGGTCATGAACCACTATGATACGGTCATGAACCACTATGATACGGTCATTAACCACTATGAGATAGTAATGAACCACTATGATACGGTCATTAACCACTATGAGATAGTAATGAACCACTATGATACGGCCCTGAACCACTATGATACAGTCATGAACCACTGTGATACGGTCATGAACCACTATGATACGGTCATGAACCACTATTATTATGATACGGTCAATAACCACTATGCTAAATAGAGGTGTCAACCGGCCCCACACCTGCTTATGGGAAAGAGTAAATGGTTGGGGTTATGTCCAGTTCATTGTCAACATGGTAACTACATTATTCCAAATATGCTGCACCAGATTGCTCATTTTGTAATTGCATCATCTGTTTTATCTCTACCCTGATTTTCCCACTGGGAAGTGCTCAGTTAAACAGAGCTCAGCGCAATTAAGCAAATGATAATCACCTAATGTGAGACAACGGTTTATAAATACTATAATCATAATTATTGGAATTTATGTAAACATAGTTCACCAAATGTCAAACAACATTCAATCCAAAATATGCTATAAAATGGTATAATAAGTGAGCAGTGTGTGTGTGTGTGTGTGTGTGTGTGTGTGTGTGTGTGTGTGTGTGTGTGTGTGTGTGAATGTGTGCATGTCTATCTCTATGTGCACGTGTCCTATACTTACAGGTTTGGGAGGCAGGTCGGGGTCCTGCAGGACCATGGACTTGGTTTGACTCAGCCGTTCCCCACTGCTCTGAGAGCTCTTGATGCGCATCTGGACCGTACCCGGTGCCGCTCCGGTCACCTGGTGGGGCAGAATCAGAGGCTGCTGTTTCCCTACACTCTGAAGATTGGTGATTCTGGTCAAAAGGAGGAGAAAACATGTTCAGATTAAAATATTGTTCAAAAATAAGTATTATCCGATTGATACGATTTCAAATAAATCAATGGATGTAAAATACTTCACAGAAGGCAGTTAAAGTGCTGTTTTTGCTGTTGGTGAATTAATTGATTCATTTGGTTTAGTAGTAATGTCCAGGAAATTAGGAACATTTAAGGGCAGACACTGCAAGAAGTGTAGTCTAAGCTTGAGGACGTTAGCCTTACTTCCTGTACTGGTTCTCTCATCAATCCTTCTTGCTGTAATGTGTCTGTCGATGAGCAGGAAAAACTCAGTCTGTTCAAGTTTGGGATTCTTGCAAATAATAAACAGTCTACCAACGGAAAAAAAATCTATGTTCAATCTAAATACCAAGGCTCATCCAGCAAGGTCACATAGTAGTTTATTGTTGGGTTTTAAACCAATTGTGTGGTTTTTAGAAACGTTGCACAATGTGTCTCCCAACAGGAAGCAAATCTCAACCTCCACACCCAAAAAAGTGAACAGATTAAGAAATCAACAGCTGTGTATACTGATGGTTTGCATAGACCCTAACTTCTCTCTGCATTGTTGATTACAACATTAACAATGCCGTAGACATGACCATAGTAATAAAGATTGTCATATTGTTATGAGGCTTATGCGGTAAAGATTTACAGTGCAGAAATGTCAATTGACAGAAAGGATAATGGATGCAGTTTTAGTGATATCACAGATCTGTTGATTGTGAGTGAGTTTAACAAGTTAGGAAAATACTAAGCTTCAGTTTAGAAAAGAAAGAGACAAAAAAATGCAAATATTTTCAGAAATTCAAAATGTTTCAACCACCAATTCTAATTATTTCCTGTTTTAAATGCACATAGACAGGGTAGTCCTGAACAACATCTACTATGTCATAACGATTCGGGACTATAATACTCAAGAATAACAGAATTACGCATAATAACACATGCATCAACAACTTTCCACCGACCAGCCGCATATAGTAAGTGAGGGCCCAGGCTCCTGATTCCATTGCCCAGGTGTTACATCTCTAGAAGTCACCAATGGCCCCCACTAAATCTCCAAATACTTTTAAGAGTGATTAAACAACAATAACAGCATCCTTCAATTTGCAAAACCACTCCATCCAAACCCACTAGAATCGTATCTGTCTTACCTCGTCCCCGCCATCGTTCTGTCAAATCAATCCTCAGATCACACAAAGTGAAAGAGAGAGAAAGAATGCAAGTCTTACATTTAGAGGAAGTAGGTTTCATCACGTGGTGTAGTCAAACCACCATGTCTTTCACTGCTGCTCCACATTTGATGTGAATGTCTTTTATGCGTCACAGGCCCGGGTCCCCACTTCCTGAAAGATGCCACTTGCACAGCAATAGTCTGACTGAAACTTCAACTTCAGAACTGAATACAAATTGATAACACGCGTAGATGAGAGATCTGTCCGTCACACAATCTGAGAACAGGGTAGATCAGGATTTAATGACCTCCTGCAGCAGAGAGTTGGCGTACGAGTTGTTCCACCTGTTTTTAGTAACAGCTTGTTCCAAAATATCTCCCTTGCCAAAAGTGCAGTTTGAAAGTTAGTGGTGCATGTCTGAGTTCCACTGCAGTTAATGTTGTCCTAACTGAAATTCCATTTGGTTACAGTGATTTTAGATAGATTGTTTTTACAAGGGAGCACCATACTTCCATCACCAATATGTAGATACACAATATAAATGGTTTACACTTTACATCAAGATATTTCCCAAAAGATGTAAACTAACTTGGTAACGTTATCAGAAGTATTACTGGGCCTCAAAACAATTGTTTGTTGATGACATTGGTTGAATCAGGGAATGACATCATCTTGGGGTTTTCCTGTGGTCTGGGTGATTCACCCCTGAGATACTTTTTTAATGAACAATTAACTATTTTACTGTATATTTCAAACTGTGGTGTTCATGGGCGCCATCCTTGGTCCAGCGATAACACAACAACCTGTAAAGGTTTTATACAGCATATAAAGTGGGGAATAGACAGTGAGTAAAGTGTACGATCGTGAAAAGAGCAATGAATTTCCCATTTACCTCCAGCAGATGGGGCAATTGCAACTTCACAATCGCAATCCCATTGGCCTTCAACCCAGGAAATGTTTGTCATAACTCGTGTGAGCTGAGAAAGGATGGAGACTGAGAAGGCAAAATCGAAGGTATAGAATTACATGAAGGGAACATACGCTCAAGTTCCACCTATATAAGCCTATAAGATCTACCACCAGTACAAGGGAGCCATTGACAGCGCAAGCTCAACTTATATTGTGTGTTCTGTGATTCTACACAGTACAATTCATACCTTAACATCCTGTGACGTTGTGTCTTCCTGAATTGACCATTGAGGGTTCAGTGACTCACATATGGGACTGTGTCTCTTATCTCATCTTAACAGCTAAAAAGGTATTGTGAACTTTTTTCTGTATTTTAAATAAATAGGTATTTCTTTCATCCAATGCAACATACAATTAGTCAATGGTCTAATGAAATCTTTAACAGAAGTAATTGAACACCATCACCACTACTACCATCATTCCAACCAGATCTCACCATTTCAGAGGAGGTCCCCCTGGAACAGAGGTACGAGGCCAGAGTGGTGCTGAGCGGAGCAGGAGACGCCCTTGGCTACAACCAATTGCAACTGGGAGTTTGAGAATGATGGAGCGCTCATCCATGAGGAAGTGCAGAAGATAGGAAGTCTAGAGAAGCTGGATGCCAAAGACTTCCCTGTTAGTGATGACACCGTCATGCACCTCGCTACAGCTGAAGCCCTGGTCAAGGTGGGGAAGGGGGAGGGGGAGTCCTTTCTGAAGTGTGTCATGTCTTGTTGTCACAATGTAAACAGGACACCCAATAGTGTTAACAGCAGTGGCAATGTTTCTGCACGCTGGAGCACGGCACACTTAAACAAACATGTTGATCTCCCTTCAATGCAATAATTATACTCCCTCTCTCTCCGCTGTAGGCATCACCTGCATTGACGGCGTTGCCAGGCACATACGGAGAACTGAGAGGGGCATTAAGATTCCCTTCTACAAGAGGGGTGGAGGGTGTGGGTCAGCCATGAGGACCATGTGTATTGGCCTGCACTTCCCCGACCTTGAGTAGGAACACCTGCTGATAGCAGTCAGTGTGGAGAGTGGGCATCTGAACCACCACCACCCCACAGGCCCCATTAGACATATTCCCATGAGATTGTCCCGTTTGTTTACACAACATTTTCTAACTACCTGGGTTTACAATGTAGAATTATGTGTAAGCTTCACCTGCTTCTGACTAATCTTGTTTTTGGGACTCAGCCTATTTAGAAAAGAGAGTCATTCTGAATGGGAAGAGCAAACCCCAGTTCCCAGAGCGCTACGGAGTGAAGGAGAGGGAGGTACATTTCCAGGGTATGTGTGGCACCAGTGGGCACGATGCTCCCATGATAGCTTACGATGCCCTCCTAAAAGCAGGCGACTCCAGGGTTGAGTTGGCCAATCACGGCTTCTTCTACGGTGGGGACAGCGACTCCACGTCCGCAATCGCTGTTGCCTGGTTGGGCGCACCGTTCAGCTTCAGAGGAGTGCCAGAGATCAACTACCACAGGCTGGAGTACCGTGACAGGCGAGCCAGGCTCGGGCAGCAGCTATACGAGCTCAGGAGAAACCCTCTTGGTGCTGAGAGAGAGTGATGCAAAGTAAACCAATAGATGGTTAAAGGTGAACTCCATTACAGCAATTTCAGCTACTTTTAGTTGAAAAAATTTTATCCCTTGATTTGTATTTGATTTGTTTTAAATAATATGACTGGATCTGGAAATGTTAGTAAGAGAATACTGATAATCTCAAGCTGCAGTTCAACTACTGACCAGAAGATGGAGACATTAGCAGCTATAGAATTTGCTCTTAAATGAAAAACATCTTCTCTTAAGGCAATAAAAAATAAATAATCCAGCCTATAATCAATCCGTCACTAACATACATAATGCTGCTATGGCAGAGTGGGAAAAGTGTTTGTTTTATTTCAGATTAGACTGATGTTATTGTGAACGTCTTCAACATGAGGACTGCAAGTACAGTGGTGACCAGAGGGTGGCAGTGTGACTTAACAAATCTCTCCCTCTCTCTCTCTCTCTCTCTCTCTCTCTCTCTCTCTCTCTCTCTCTCTCTCTCTCTCTCTCTCTCTCTCTCTCTCTCTCTCTCTCTCTCTCTCTCTATCTCTCTCTCTCTCAGTATATTTCCACACTATGAGGTTGGAATATTACTGTGATATTGTACAAATTATGATAATGCCCTTTTAATGTAAGAGATGTTTGAAAAGACCGCCTGAAATTTCACCCTGTATTGGTGGGTTGGAGTTTTGGCCTGCTAGTTTTCAGTTTTCCCCCTCCTCACTCAGACAACTCCCAAACAGTCCTAGCAAAATTCTAGCTTGAGAAATTGGTCTTTGCTAAGAAGCAATTTTTGTTTCTTTTTGACCATTTTAATTGAAAACAATCACAGTAAGGTATTTAATTCAGAACAGCGCCGGAAGAAGATGGCTGCCGTTTTACAGCCCTCTAACCAATTGTACTACTATGTGTGTTTTTCCGCGTTATTTGTAATTTATTTTGTACATAATGTTTCTGCCATCGTCTCTTATAACCAAAGAGAGCTTCTGGATATCAGGACAGCGATTACTCACCTCGCGTTGGACGAAGACTTTTTCTTCAACGAGGCGTTCGCGAAGGATATTCTACAGACTCCCGACAAGGCCCAGATCCCCGTCATTCGTGTGAGAAAGAGACGGAGATATCGTGGACGTAGGTCGGGGTGCCTTGTAAGGATCCGACGGCGAACGAGTAAACTGCCTCTCCCATCAATCCTATTAGCCAATGTTCAATCTTTTGAGAATAAAATTGACGATTTAAGATTACGGTTATCCTACCAACGGGACATTAAAAACTGTAATATCTTATGTTTCACGGAGTCGTGGCTGAACGACAACAATGACAACATTCAGCTAGCGGGCTATACGCTACATCGACAGGACAGAACTGCAGACTCTGGTAAGACAAAGGGTGGCGGTCTGTGTATATTTGTAAACAACAGCTGGTGCACAAAATCAAATACTAAGGAAGTCTCGAGGTTTTGCTCGCCTGAGGTAGAGTATCTTATGATAAGCTGTAGACCACACTATTTACCAAGAGAGTTTTCATCTATATTTTTCATAGCTGTCTATTTACCACCACAAACCAATGCTGGCATTAAGATTGCACTGAATGAGTTGTACAAGGCCATTAATCAACAGGAAAACGCTCATCCAGATGCAGCGCTCCTAGTAGCCGGGGACTTTAATGCAGGGAAACTTAAATCCGTTCTACCTCATTTCTACCAGCATGTTAAATGTGCAACCAGAGGGGAAAAAACTCTAGACCACCTTTACTCCACACACAAAGACGCATACAAAGCTCTCCCTCGCCCTCCATTTGGCAAATCTGACCATAACTCTATCCTCCTGATTCCTGCTTATAAGCAAAAACTGAAGCAGGAAGCACCAGTGATTCGGCTAATAAAAAAGTGGTCAGATGACGCAGATGCTAAGCTACAGGACTGTTTTGCTAGCACAGACTGGAACATGTTCCGGGATTCTTCAGACAGCATTGAGGAGTACACCACATCAGTCACTGGCTTCATCAATAAGTGCATCGATGATGTCGTCCCCACATTGACCGTACGTACATACCCCAACCAGAAGCCATGGATTACAGGAAACATCCGCACTGAGCTAAAGGGTAGAGCTGCCGCTTTCAAGGAACGGGACTCTAACCCGGACGCTTATAAGAAATCCCGCTATGACCTCCGACGAACCATCAAACAGGCAAAGAGTCAATACAGGTCTAAGATTGAATCATACTACACTGGCTCTGACGCTCGTCGGATGTGGCAGGGCTTGAAAACTATTACAGACTACAAAGGGAAGCACAGCCGCGAGCTGCCCAGTGACACAAGCCTACCAGACGAGCTAAACCACTTCTATGCTCGCTTCGAGGCAAGCAACACTGAAGCATGCACGAGAGCACCAGCTGTTCCGGACGACTATGTGATCACGCTCTCCGTAGCCGATGTGAGTAAGACTTTTAAGCAGGTCAACATTCACAAGGCCGCAGGGCCAGACGGATTACCAGGACGTGTACTCTGAGCATGTGCTGACCAACTGGCAAGTGTCTTCACTGACATTTTCAACATGTCCCTGACTGAGTCTGTAATACCAACATGTTTCAAGCAGACCACCATAGTCCCAGTGCCCAAGAACTCTAAGATAACCTGCCTAAATGACTACCGACCCGTAGCACTGACGTCTGTAGCCATGAAGTGCTTTGAAAGACTGGTCATGGCTCACATCAACAGCATAATCCCAGAAACCCTAGACCCACTCCAATTTGCATACCGCCCCAACAGATCCACAGATGATGCAATCTCTATCGCACTCCACACTGCCCTTTCCCACCTGGACAAGAGGAACACCTATGTGAGAATGCTATTCATTGACTACAGCTCAGCATTCAACACCATAGTGCCCTCTAAGCTCATCACTAAGCTAAGGATCCTGGGACTAAACACCTCCCTCTGCAACTGGATCCTGGACTTCCTGACGGGCCGCCCCCAGGTGGTAAGGGTAGGTAACAACACATCTGCCACACTGATCCTCAACACAGGGGCCCCTCAGGGGTGCGTGCTCAGTCCCCTCCTGTACTCTCTGTTCACCCATGACTGCATGGCCAGGCACGACTCCAACACCATCATTAAGTTTGCCGACGACACAACAGTGGTAGGCCTGATCACCGACAACGATGAGACAGCCTATAGGGAGGAGGTCAGAGATCTGGCCGTGTGGTGCCAGGACAACAACCTCTCCCTCAACGTGACCAAGACAAAGGAGATGATTGTGGACTACAGGAAAAAAAAGAGGACTGAGCACGCCCCCATTCTCATCGACGGGGCTGTAGTGGAACAGGTTGAGAGCTTCAAGTTCCTTGGTGTCCACATCACCAACGAACTATCATGGTCCAAACACACCAAGACAGTCGTGAAGAGGGCACGACAAGGCCTATTCCCCCTCAGGAGACTAAAAAGATTTGGCATGGGTCCTCAGATCCTCAAAAAATTCTACAGCTGCACCATCGAGAGCATCCTGACTGGTTGCATCACCGCCTGGTATGGCAACTGCTTGGCCTCTGACCGCAAGGCACTACAGAGGGTAGTGCGTACGGCCCAGTACATCACTGGGGCAAAGCTCCCTGCCATCCAGGACCTCTATACCAGGCGGTGTCAGAGGAAGGCCCTCAAAATTGTCAAAGACTCCAGCCACCCTAGTCATAGACTGTTCTCTCTGCTACCGCACGGCAAGCGGTACCGGAGTGCCAAGTCTAGGTCCAAAAGACTTCTCAACAGCTTCTACCCCCAAGCCATAAGACTCCTGAACAGCTAATCATGGCTACCCGGACTATTTGCACTGCCCCCCCACCCCATCCTTTTTACGCTGCTGCTACTCTGTTAAGTATTTATGCATAGTCACTTTAACTCTACCCACATGTACATATTACCTCAACTACCTCAACTAGCCGGTGCCCCCGCACATTGACTATGCAACGGTACCCCCCTGTATATATAGCCTCCCTACTGTCACTTTATTTTACTGTATATATAGCCTCCCTACTGTCACTTTATTTTACTTCTGCTCTTTTTTTCTCAACACGTTTTTGTTGTTGTTTTATTCTTACTTTTTTGTTTAAAATAAATGCACTGTTGGTTAAGGGCTGTAAGTAAGCATTTCACTGTAATGTCTGCACCTGTTGTATTCGGCGCATGTGACCAATAAAATTTGATTTGATTTGATTTGATTTGATTTAATTGTTACCCAGAAATGATTTGATATTGAGAGAAAAACGGCTGCATTGGAACTTTAAGTACACGTTCCTGTCTGCTGATAACTTAAGAGTAGCCTATGCCCAGTAGCATGTATTCATGGATGCCAAGGGATGCCAGGCTACCTCACATTCTTTTACTTTCATCTCTCTGTGTTTCATTAATTTCCTTCAATTCGCAACAGGCTGAATGTATCTCACTGGAGAAAGCATCTGAGCGAACGAAACAGCGCACCTCTGTCTCTGTATGTATAGGCCATCTATCTGATGATGTCTGGTCAAAAAAACATGACATTGTTGCCCCCCGTAGCATTGAATGCAAGTGAAGCCAGTGAGCATTTGGCCTCCATTGATAAAAAAAAAGAGTAAAATGTTAGCCAATCAGCGTTGAGCTAAACTGAGCGAGCTCAACTGTGAATAGTCCTGGCGCAACAAAAGAAAGTGTCAAGGGAAGCCAGTTTCAATTTGGCTCCACTCCAATCACATCACATCGAGAGGAATTCGTCATTGACAGAAACAACTTGAATTGTTGCATCTTGTTGTGTTGTTGTCCTCCTGTGGCTAGCTAGCTAGCAAAAATGGGCCCTTTCCTAATTTAGCCATGGATGGGGATAGGGATTTGGACTTGTGGTTTTACTTAATTCTCAGTACTGCCAATGATTATAACGGCGATTCTGATCCACCCATAAATGCATACTTTGTGCCCCTGACCTGAGAGGATGTAGCTAGATGTAGAAGGCTAATGTTTACTAGCTAACGTTGCCCATGAAAGGAAGTTAGCA